GTGACTTTCGCTACAGTGGACGAGCCTCAGTTCCCGCCTCTCTTGACAGAGCGACTTTTGCATTGTGTCATTCAGCATGTTCCGGAGTTGCATCTTGGGCCTACGACGTTGCTTGAGGCTGTGCAGAATCCTTCGGCGCCCATGGCGCGACTCAACTTAGGCCTGCAGCCTCGTGGTAATGCGTTACCANNNNGTCTGGGAGTTTGATCGCACTCTTGATTTCATCGTGCCGGTGCAACAATGCAAGCCTTTGGACCAGATTCTTGCCGAGCTGCCCAAAGGCTCCAGAATTTTCTCGAGGCGTGTTTGTCAATGGGGTTCGTTGCAGAGCCTCTTCGACGCCGGGAAAGGGCCAGGGCCTAGGGTTTGTGGGTTTGATTCGGATAAGCCCCCTCCTGTTGTGGAGTTCGTCCAGATAGGTGTCCCGTGCTCTGAGGATGTCTTTGTGCAAAGGGCGGCCGCGGCGGGACACCCGAGGTCTCTTGAGTGCCACGTCGAGCCGGTTGTCACGGAGTGTGCTAAGGCAAACTTTGAGGCCCCGGCAGCTGATTTGGCATCCTTTAGGATTGAAGCCTTGAAGTTCTGGATTGGCCGTGCTGCTTCGCTTAAAGAGAGTGAACAAAAGTTGCACGCATCATTACCGGAACACTTGAAGCCTATCCTTAAAGGAAAGAAATTGCTGCTTTTGAAGGAGATGATGCAGGCGGCAGGGTGTTCGGACGTTTCCTTGGTTGACGACATTTGCCAGGGATTTCGCCTTACAGGATGGCTGCCCACTTCTGGTGAGTTTGTGCCTAGGTCGCGAAGGCCCAAGTTCACTGTGCAAACCTTGGGTGTTCTTGCGAAGGGCTTCAACAAGGTCACTAGGCGCAAGCTTTCACGCAGGCAGGATGCAGATCTTGAAGAGGCCACTTGGGCGGAGACTCAGAAGGAGCTTGATGCTGGTTGGGTTTGGCTTGACGAGTCCTCGTTGCCCGACGGTGTGGCCCTTGCCATGCGCTTCGGGATCATGCAAAACAAGTTGAGAGTGATTGATGATCTGTCTTGCTGCGGCTTGAACTCCACTGTTGGCTTGCTGGAGAAGTTCTGCTTGCACACGATCGANNCTCGCTTCAATGATGGCTCACGCTTTTGGGATCGTGCAGGGCGAGTTTCCTGAGTGCTTCGGGAGAACGTTCGATCTAAAGTCGGCATACAAACAATTCGGAGTGTGCGCTGAAGACAGAAAGAGGTTCAGGATCGCGGTGAATCGGCCAGGTGCATCCGAGCCTGCCGTCCTGGGCGTCAACGCGCTCCCTTTCGGGGGGGTGGGTTCTGTAGCGGCCTT